TGGGGGGGCCCTCGGGGCATGGCGCCTCGAGGTTCGGGGGGGAGGGCAAAAATGATTAATTCTCCGATGTGCGTAAGAATAGTCTGACAGACCTTTCTTTCCGGATGTCAAATCCCCAGAGTCAACAATATTGCAAGTCATTCCTAGCATTCGCTCAGGTAGCTTTGCTGATACTGGCCCATGTAGGTTCATGGAAGATGAACATATAAGGATAGATGATCTATCTGCACATCTTGTCTCACTCATGAAGTTTCCGAAGCCCAGTGCTTTCTATGGGGTAACTGCTAGTTATTTGCATGTCTTATTTGCCCTGTGCATTTTCAAAGGCAGAGCTTGTCTAACATTTAGTTTTATAGGTATTTGATGGTCATGGAGGAACCAGAAGCTGCAGCTCATGTGAGAAAAAGTTGTACTCAGATTATTATTTTCAGACACCAATTTTCCCGAGACTTCAGAAGTTGATGATGCATTTCTAGGAAGGGTGGAGAGTTCTCTTAGGAATGGGTTTGTCCTGGCTGACCTCACTTTAGCCAAGGACTGCAATGTTAGCAGTTCTTCCGGAACTACTGCACTGACAGCTCTTGTGTTGGGAAGGTAAGATCGTGATTCATTGTGATGCACCTATAAACAAGTAACGACTTCTCTGTCCTGTAGAAAAATGGTTATGGTGTACTCACACGCACAACTAGTGGTATTGAATTGTCCAACTACCCAAGTACATGTCGTAAGTTACTTAAGCCTTACCTAAGGATGCTGCTTGATAGATGAGAGAGAGAAAATGGTCCGTATATATGAATTTGCTAAACTTTGTTTCACCAAGTTTTGTACCATAAATATTGATTTTACAACGAAGTTGCTGAGGGGGTGAGCATTAGAGTTGACCTGGCTGTTCAATGGAACAATTGCTTAGCTTTGTGCATATATTTGTATTCTTGTTATCTAAATGATACTCTATTCTGTTTTAGGCTATTAATGGTGGCAAATGCAGGAGACTGCCGAGCAGTACTTTGCCGCAACGGAGAGGCAATTGACAAGTCTCAAGACCAGACTAAATTATCCATCAGAGAGGAGGCGTGTTGAAAGTGGATTTATTGATGATGGCTATCTGAATGGTATACTATCAGTGACCAGGCCCTTGGGTGACTGGGACATGAAGCTGCAGAGCCAGAATTTCGACGACAGATAGTTCTGACAGAGGAGGATGAATTCCTTATTATTGCTTGTAATGGAATCTGGGATGTCTTGTCTAGTCAACAAGCAGTTACTCTAGTGCATCGAGGGCTAAGACGACATGATGATCCTGAACAGTGTGCCAATGACCTTGTCATCGAGGCCTTGTGGCTCAATACATTTGACAATCTCACAGTAATTATTGTATGCTTTACTTCCCCTGATCATCAAGAGCTATCACCAATGCATCAAAGGAGATTATGGAGCTGCAGCTTCTCTGCAGAAGCCTTGTATAGCTTGCAGAGCTGGTTAGACAACAAAGGGAGCCATTGATGGCGGTGCAAGTTGTATGCAGCTGCCTCATTTGGGCAGAATGAAGAGCAACTATAGTTTTGGTAGTAAGATCTTTTTTTCTTGCTTTTGTATTTGGGTGGATGTATGTATATACCATTCGTTGGTAAGTTGGGAGCTACACTGACTTTTAGTTTATTATGGCTGTTAGCGTATGGCCGTGTTTATGTAACTCATTCTATTAGTTGTACCTAATGAACACTTGTACTTTTTGCTCCGTATAACAACTAGATTGAGACAAGTCTACTCCTTATTTATGATGCTAGTGAAGTGAGTTTAACCGCTATCTCCTAGTTGACTAGCCATAGATTGCAACGAGATGATAATTGCACGCCATAAGACCAATGGATGTTATAGCGACTCTTGGAATTCTCTCCCAAGAGTTATTATGTGTTAGAGGCCATGTTGTTGAGTAGTTTCTTGATTACTTAAATGATTGCCTTTCACAGCCCGTCTGGGGATCCGTGGTGCTTGCTTCAGCTCAATTTCTTTCTTTTTCTCTATATTTCATGTCCAAATGTTTTACCTGTTCAAGCATTAACAAACACATTATATCCATATAAACACACTCAAGTTTTCACACTAATCCTTCATTTTGAGCGTCAAATGTTCCACGATTTCACGGCACATCAATATTAGCTCATGGATCTGGCACCTTGGAGCACCCAAATTTTTTTCTCATAGAACTTTATGAAGACCTCCGTAATGAGTCGGGGAACCACCACGTAAAATCATACCATTTTTAACGCCTATTTCCGCATTTACAGTCCCTTAATTAGGAATTACCCAAATTCCTCGATTGTTTCTTAGCCCAAGGATCTGGCGCCCTAGAGCACCCAAATATTTTTCTCAATAAAGTTTATGAAGGCCTCCGCAATAAGTTGGGGAACCACCACGTATACTCACACCTTTTTAACGCTCATTTATGCATTTACAAACCTTTTTTAGCAATTACCCAAAATCCTTGATTTTTCGTGTGTATTAGTCTATGAATCTATTGCCCCGGAGCACCCAAAATATTTTTCTCAAAAAACTTTATAAGCACTTCCTTAATGAGTTGGGGAACCACCATGTATACTCGCACCATTTTTAACGCCCATTTCTGCATTTACAGACCCTTTTTTAGGATTTACCCAAATTTCTCAATTTTTCGTGTGTATTAGCCCATGGATCTGGCGCCGCGGAGCACCCAAAATTTTTCCTCAAAACACTTTATGAGGACCTCCGTAATGAGATGGGGAACAACCATGTAAATTGACACCATTTTTAATGCCCATTTGCGCATTTATAGACTCTTTTTTTAGGAATTACCAAAGCTCTTCGTTTTTTCATGTGTATTAGCCCATGGATCTGGCGCCCCAGAGCACCCAAATTTTTTCTAAAAAAACTTTATGAGGACCTCCGTAATGAGTTGGGAAAACCACCACGTATACTCACAAAAAAAAAATTAACGCCTATTTCTGCATTTACAGACTCTTTTTTAGGAATTACCTAAATTCCTCGATTTTCATGTGTATTCGCCCATGGATCTGTCGCCACGGAGCACCCAAATTTTTTTGCTCAAAAAAATTAATGAGGACCTTCTTAATGTGTTGGGGAACCACCATGTATACTGACACCATTTTTTTAACGCCCATTTTCCGCATTTACATACTCTTTTTAGGAATTATCCAAATTCCTCGATTTTTATGTGTTTAGCCCATGTATCTAGCGCCCCGGAGCACCCAAAAAGAATTCTCAAAAAACTTTATGAGGACCTTTGTAATGAGCTAGGAAACCACCATGTATACTCACACTATTTTTTAATACATATTTCTACATTTACAGACTCTTGGAAGAAAAAAAACGATAGGAATTGTGAAATTCTCACTGTGTATTTCTTCTCAAGCTGTACATGTATAAATACAGTAAAAAAGGAATCAAAATCTGTTATGCCTAGGACACTTGTACAAATCCTATTTGTCTAGCCTATAGATAATATAGAATTTTAATTTATACAAAAAATAGAGAAATCAGATAATTTGAAATATCAATATTGTGGAAGCTTCCAAAATGATGAGTCAGCTCATCCAGGTGTCTCAATCAAACTTTGAACCAACGGTCTTGATTTAATTTTATTGTCTTGTGATGGACGGTTGTGATGCACAAGTCTAAAAGGAAATAAATGTGTCTGAACCTTGTTCACTTCACACTTTGAAACTATGTCTTTCCTTTGTCCTCCGTTGTTGTCGTGAGTTTGAGCTTCTTCATCACCAACATCCCCCCTCAAGTTGGAGGGAGAGGAAGTAACCCCCAACTTATGAACATTCGATCTATGAGAAGGACCAGATAACGACTTGGTGAAAACGTCGGCGAGCTGAGAGTGAGAGGGTAGATATGAGAGGGAAATGAGACCAGCTAGAAATTGTTGCCGGACGAAGTGACAGTCGAGTTCGACGTGCTTCGTCCGTTCATGGAAAACTGGGTTATTCGCGATATGAATCGCAACCTGGCTATCGGAGTGCAAAGTGACAGGAAGAGATGGGGTGATGGAAAGATCAGCGAACAATCGCACCAACCAGGTAATCTCAGCAACTACCCGTCGCATAGATCTGTATTCTGCTTCAGCAGATGATAGAGATACTAAAGATTGTTTCTTTGATTTCCATGAAACAGGAGAACCTCCAAAACTTATATAATATCCACTAACGGAACGACGAGATTCAGGGCAAGTCCCCCAATCGGAGTCACAGAAAGCAACTAATTGAAGACATGGATCAACATTCATGAGAAGCCCCAAATTGGGTTCTTTGAGCAAATAACGGAGACAGTGGAAAACAGCGTTCAAATGAGGTTGACGAGGGGTCTGCATAAACTGAGAAAGATGTTGCACAGTGAAAGAGAGATCCGGCCGGGTGTGGGTCAAGAAGTTGAGTTTACCTAAAAGCCGACGATACAAAGTTGGATCCGACAGAAGCTCACCCTTATCGGCGAAAAGTTTCTGAGTGGGATCAAGTGAAGCGGAAGCTGGTCGGAGACCAAAACAATCAAACTCTTGAAGCAATTCAAAGGTAAATTTCTTCTGAGTCAGAATCAATCCAGTAGGTTCTCGAATAATTTCCATGCCTAGAAAAAAATGAGCTTTACCAAGGTCCTTAATCCGAAATTCAGCATGAAGAAAATTCTTAAGT